AGTGGATAACGTTGATCACACAATAAGCTCAACTGGGGAAATCCAACTGCCCAGGAATCCTGGAAGAGATCATGGACTGGCCAAAAGGCAGAGATTTTGGAGCATTGCCTGAGGAGGTGGCTCATGCCCAAGAGACACCAACATATAATGAGTTATCAGAAGATGAAAGGCATTATGCTTTGTTTACTGATGGATCCTGTCATGTTGTAGGAAACCACTGAAGTGGAAAGCTGCTGTGTGGAGTCCCACATGACAAGTCATTGAAGCCACTGAAGGAGAATGTGAGTCAGGTCAGTCTGCAGAATTAAAAAACATCCAACTAGCTCTAGAGCTTGCTGAACAAGATAAGTGGCCAGTACTTTATCTCTATACTGACTCCTGGATGGTGGCTAATGCCCTATGGGGGTGGCTACAGCAGTGGAAGAAGACCAACTGGCAGTGCAAGGGTAAACCCATCTGGGCTGCTGCATCGTGGCAGGACATCCCTGCCCGGGTAGAGAACATCTCTCTAAAGATATGTCATGTAGATGCTCACATACCCAAAAGCCGCACTACTGAACATTGCAACAATGAACAAGTAGAGAAGGCTGCGAAAATTGAAGTAGCTTGGGTGGACCCAGACTGGGAGCATAAGCATGAACTATTCGTAGCTTGATGGGCCCACGAAACATGGGGACATCCAGGGAGAAATACAACGTACAAATGGGCTCGTGATAGAGGGGTGGACCTGACCATGGAGACCATCACACAGTCACTCATGAATGTGAAACACATGCTGCAATCAAGTGAGCCACATGAGTAAAGTCTCCCTGGAACAGAGGGTGGTGGCTGGGTTTTCGATATGGCGAGGCCTGGCAAATTGACTATATTAGACCACTGCCATGAACACGCCAAGGCAAGTACTACATACTCACCATGGTGGAATCAACTACTGCTTGGCTAGAAACATACCCTGTAAACTATGCCACTGCCCAAAACACCATCTGAGGCCTTGAAAGGCAAATTTTGTGGTGACATGGTACCCCAGAAAGAATTGAATCAGACAATGGGACTCATTTCTGAAATAACCTCATAAACTCCTGGGCCAAGAAACATGGCATTGAGTGGTTGTATCACACCCCCTATCACCTACAAGCCTCTGAAGAGACTGAGAGATATAATGGATTTTTAAAGACTATGTTGAGAGCATTGGGCAATGGGGCATGGAAGCACTGGGATATAAATTTAGCAGAAGCCACTTGGCTGGTTAACACCGGAGGATCTGCTAACCATCCTGGTCCTGCCCAAACAAAACCCCTGTATACTCTGGGAGAAGATAAGGTCCCCATAGTGCACATAGAGAAGTGGCTGGGGAAGGCAGTGTGGATTGCTTCTCCCTTGGGAAAAGGCAAACCCATTCGTGGGATTGTTTTCGCTCAAGGACCTGAGTGTACTTTGTGGGTAATGTGGAAGGACGGGGAGACCTGGTGTGTGTCTCAAGGAGATTTAGCCCTGGGGAAAAATAATGTGATGTGAGTTGTATGTTGTAGGAAGTGATATAGCAGGAATGACCTGAATGGACAAAGAGTGGGTTTCGCAAGGAACCAGGGAAGTGCAACGATGACCCAAACCAAGCCCGTGTTGGTGCGCAACAATTGAACCTACTGCTTCTCCTGTCCTGAGCAGCCATCTTGACAGATGGGGACCAAGTCATAGCCTGTTCTTATGAACATTTGGAGGAGTAGAGGAAGCCCATGGAATGGCAGAATATCTATCTGTTAAAGGACAGAGGATAGTAGTTTATGAGAATGTATAAATCTGTATGTTGGGTATAAAGATGGTTTAAGTATGTAGTATAAGTCGTAAGTGTTGGTAAGAAGAGATTTCAGTAATGAGAGTTAAATACAATGGGATGGTTAGAAGATATATGTATGTATTAAATTATGTGGAACCTGAACGTGATGCAAATAGTACGGAATAAGGGGTGGAGAAGGTTATTGGGTCTGGCTGAGATGGAGTTAATTTTCCCCCTAGCAGTCCTCAGAGTGCTGTGCTCTGTATTGGTAGCTAGAAAGGTGTTGATAACACACCAGTGTTTTGGCTGCTGCTGAGCAGTGCTCCCACAGCATCAAGGCTGTCTCTCCAACATTCCCCCCTGACCAGTAGGCTGGGGGTGGGCAAGATCTTGGCATGGGACATAGCCAGGACAGCTGACCCAAGCTGACCAAAGGGAGATTCCACACCATAGGACATCTGCTCAGCAATAAAAGCTAAGAGAAAGGAGGAGGAGTGGGAACATTTGTTATTATGGCATTTGTCTTCCAGAGCAACTGCTACACTTACTGAAGCCCTACTTCCTGGGAAGTGGCTGGACATGGCCTGCTGATGGGAAAATCTTTTGTTTGCCTTTGCTTCCGTGCACGACCTCTGCTTTTGCTTTATTAAACTGTCTTTATCTTGACCCACAAGTTCTTTTCCATCTTATTTTCTCTTTCACTGTCCTACTGAGGAGGGAAGTGATAGAGCGGCTTGGTGGGCACCTGGCATTCACCCAAGGTCAATCCACTACAGATGCCAAATGGGTTGTAGCCCAGCTCAGCGAGGCAGCCAAGCTGCACAGCTGCCGGGAGCCAAACCTGCCCAGGCAGATCCCTGCTCAGACGGGCAGGTGACTCTCCAACAGCTCCCGGCACCCACGGCTCAGCCTTGGGGAACATGGGGGCCCTGCTGAGCACCAGCACGGTCAGCTGAGGCCACGGGTCCTGTGCTGTCCTGGCTGCACTGCGGGGACATGCTGCCCTCCCTAAGCCCTGCAAGCAGCATCCCCTGGGACTTTGGTGTTTGCCAGACCTGCCTGGGGTGGTCCAGGGTGTCAGGGCACAGCGCAGTGCTGCTGCAGAGCACTGTGCCCCTCTTGCCTTAGCAGGATGTGTCTTGGTGGCTCTATCTCACTCAGGAGGTGTCTCACCCCTCCTGGCCTCAGTATTCTTACATGCTAAATTAGATCTCTAATAAATAAGTAATGACAAATAATGGGATTAAATGGCTGCTGGGCAAAGAGTGCTGGCAGGGGGAGGTGTGCCATGCTCGGAGGCTCGCCCCAGCGGCGTGTGGCGCTGGCAGGGCTGGCACGGGGATCCAGACTCATTCGGAGCAAGCCCCAGCTGGTGGTGCAGGCTGGGTCTGCCACCTGTACCAGCAGCACCCTGTGCTTCTGGCCCTGGTGCTGGTGCATATGTTGGTGCCCCAAATACATGCCTGAGGAGCACCCCCATATTCCCCAGGCTCCCCTAGTCCCAGACTGCCAACACCCTGCACCCTCAGGCCCTCGGCCTGCTGCCCCCTCCTCATCCCCCTACGCTTCTCTTGTTCCCCATCTCCTCTGACAGATCACCGAGGCTGGTATTACTATAATCCCTGGCTTAATTTAAATCCTCCTCCCATCTCATGTTTTTCCAGGGGGAGGGGGGAATCAATGCACTTTCATGGCACCTGCTTGGCCCTGGGGCTGGTGCTGAGTTCGGACAGCCAAAAAGCCCTGGGTGTCCATGTGAGGGGTCCCCACTCTCACCCCCCCTGGGGAAGGTGCCTGGGGCATCTTGCAGCCCCCAGCAAGAGGCGTCCCCAGGTTCTGGAGCTGTCTCTGGGTGGGCCCAAGGGAAGGGTGGGGAAGAGAGCTTACGGTGCCGGGGGGGGGGGGCAGGTGGCTCCGGCTCCCCAACCCCCTCCTGCAGCCACCCAGGGGTCTGGTCTCCCCGTCCCTCTCCCGTTGCTGTCTGCCCCAGGCTGGGGTGACCTCGCCTCTAGTTGTCCTTCCATCCCTCTGAAACGTCTGTATTTGCTGCTCTTCCCCAGAAGCCTCCTTCTTTAAGACGTTCTCCCTCCTGGTCCCACGGGTGATGGCGAGGGTGGGAGGAGTCGCACTCCTTCGGGCAGCTGCCAGCCATTTGCCGCCTTCAGCGCTAACCGGGGAATCGGGAAGAAGCCATTTGGGGCATTTGTTAATCTATTTCTGTACGCCCCCCTCGCGCAGCAGCTGGGATCCTGCTGGCGGGGTGAAGGACGGGCCTTCGTTCGAGCACGCCAGAGCAGGCGTGGGGGGATGCGCGGGGCTGGGGACGGCCACCACCGCCGGCCTGCGGTGACACGGCGCACGGGACTGTGTTCTGCAGGCGGGTAAGGGGCTTTTTGCGGCGAGGGTGCCGCGGCCTCACACGCGGAGGCCACGCCGCTTCGAGAGGGCACCCCCCGGTCCGGCAGCGGGGCGGCAGCGGCGAGCTGGTGCGGGGACAGCGGGGTGGCAGGCGGGGGGAACGAAGTGACAGAAGGGCGACCGGAGGGGACCGCGAGGAAGGCGGTGAGGGGCAGGAGGGGACGGTGAGGGACCGGAGCGGACCGGAGCGAGGGGGAGTGGCAGGACAGGGCAGAGGGGGGCCAGGCGGGGCCCAGCGGGCTGACGCGCGGATGGCACGAGGGGCAGGGAGCGCACCTGCGCGACACCGA